CCTTGTCCTCCTGAACTCTGTCAACTCTGTGGCTGGGCTCTGTGGCTGGGCCTTGTCCTCCTCTTGGCCGCGCTCCTGAACTCTGTCAACTCTGTCTGTGGCTTCCCCAAACAGTTTACTGTTGGGGTTCTATCTTAGAAAAAAAGAGCTGGCCACACTGACTGGCCGCGCCCCTGGACTCTGTGGCCGGGTCTTGTCCTCCTGTTGTCCTTCTCTTGTCTTGCTGTTGTCCTCACTGACCAGCCCTGGGCACACTGACTGGCCGCGCCCCTGAACTCTGTGGCCGGGCTCTGTGACCGGGTCTTGTCCTCCTCTTGTCCTGCTCTTCTCTTGTCTTCTCTTGTAGCCAAACAATTAGCGATGTCGATGCCGACAAAAATCATTGATTAAGCAATTTGCTCTGTACCAAGAAATCGTTTTTGATTAATTATATACCTAGAACCTCCAACAACCACAAATTTCTGCCTCGAGACAAGTCTGCCTCGTTTGCAAAAGTATGCCTCGTTTGCAAAAAAGTGCTCGTTTATGTTTTGTCATGTTTCGTCTCACCCTCCACAACAACCCACAACATGCACAATCACACTTTGTCCTGGGCCTTGCACACAGTCATCAGCCGGGTAGCCCAGCTGGATCCGAACGCTTGGAAGCTTTCCGGGAAGCTTTCTGCCATTGAAAGGCATATTCAATCAACACCTTTTTCAGTGTTGCCACAATGGCCAAACTGTGGGTCCGGCGTTCAGCTCTCGCCACTCTCCCAATAAAATCTTCATCTGACCAACAGGCCAGAGCACCCAAACTTAATACAAACCGGCACTCAGGATCCTCTAAAGGATATCGAAGGTCAAGCCTTATGTGAAACACATGAGTTGGGAAGGTCTTTGCACACCACATCACCGCTAAGTCTTACATTAGTGCTTCTATGTGGCACGCAGTGTTGCATCATGTGTACTTTTGGGCGAAGATAGTAGAGGCTCCAATTCTGTTGCTTGCTCAGGTAGGCCATGGCTCCATAAGCCTCCTATTAGCAGAGCAAGCATTGATTTGGAGATTGGCGACAACAATCAGCTTTTGTAAGCCTAGTTTGTAGGATTGGCGACAACAAGGAAAGCTTACATGCTTCTTGAGCAAGGTTCTGTCATAGACCACCCATCTGCCACAGCTTGCTCTGCTTCTTGGCGGGTCAGCCAAAGCTTGCCATAACATGCACGGAAAAAGCGGTTGCTAACGTGCAGGCTCCATTTGACCACTCTGAAAAGATCTTGGCAATTGTCCTAAGCTTTAGCACGTGTCCAACAGGCGAATGGAATGGAAGAGCCAATGCCCACTAGAACTGCAAGAATAGAAAGGTTTACTGGTATTTCCAAGCAGGTATCAGGAACCATGTCAGCTGTCACCTGTTCAAGGACATCCTCCAACCATCTAGCTATCAACGAGGCATCACTTCCCTTTCCAAGGCCACGCGGATAGTCTTGAAGCCTGAGGGGTCATGAAACATGTTTGAGGCCTGTTGTAAGCTTAGTCGACAATGCCACCAAGAAAGGCTTACTGTCCTCCGAGTAACGATGTGATTTTGAGTTCAGACTTGGAAAATTCCTTGATTGTAGATGTTTTGTGACGTCGCTGGCACCATTCATTGAAGGAAGCAAAAGCGTCTTCAAGTTGTTCTTCAAATGGGGCCCGTGAAAACAAAGAACATCTCACTGCTAAGAAGATTAGATGGCTGGCTAGCTCATCCTTGCCATATCCTGCAATGGCATAAGTATGGGCAATGTCCGTCTTGATTTGTGCGACACTGTCTTGATGAGGTTGGATACTTCGGAGTGCAGCTCGAGGGCCAGAATGGAACGGACTCTCAGCACGATCATTACGGGAAAAAGCTCGCGTTGATCCATTGGCTGTCAAGTCGTGCCAATCCTCAATTTCACCGAGTTTGGGTGGGGGAAGGGGCAGCAGGTAGAGTCACAACTCCTTCAAACCAGAAGGTATATCGATAAGCTAAGGGTCTGTTCCTTCGCACAAGTGGCATATCCTTCGGGAAGTGTAGCCAGTCTTCAACTTGAAGGCCGTTCTAAGGAACGGCCAATCTCCTTTTGTCCCACAGTATTGCCAATACCACGTCATGTTTTGGCCTTCAAAGTTCACCTATCAGGGACCATATTGAGGAGACCAAGCTACCTATGATCATGCAACCATGCAAGGTTTTGCGACATGTACCCCCCGCACCTGTACCCCTTCTTGGCTGGCAGCATTTAGATCTGCAACCAAGGCTTCCAGCAGAACCTGTATTGTTTCCCCTTTTCCAGCGTACCTCTCCGATGGAATTGAAGTGTATATCATCCTTGTCAAATAGGTGTGCCTTGGAAACCATGACAGTGTCCACCACAAAATCACTACAGTAGTGCCAGTGCCAAAACTTCCCCCTCCGAAGAACAACAAATAAGAAGAACTTGCCAAACATGTAGAGAGAGTACTCTTTGGAATTGAGCTTTTCCCCTTTACCGAGACCAAGAATGGGCTGAATGCTGACTACCATCAGGGGCCGCTTCACTTGCCCACGGCCCTCATCGCCGTGCACAAATAGTGGAATTGTTCTCGTTGGCACGATTGGAGCGACAGCAGGGTCCTGATATTGATATCTGGACCAGAATTGGCTCAGCATGGACTCAATAGCTGGAAGGTCTTCCAGCCTATGACCTCCCAAAACTTGCATGCCACGGTAGCTTGGGTGCTCCAAGCACACCCGCATCCAATCCCGGGGCATCAGGGTCGGCCAAGGTTCCCAAACAATCTTGTTTCTCCTTCTAAATTTCCTGGCTCGCAATGGTGCTTGCACCCTTGTGATCGGCACTTGTAGATTGATACCCTTCTTCTCTACAAAACGATGAAGGTTCCTACTTTGGTTCTTCTTCTTTTTGTCAAACTTGCTCAAGGCCGCCAAGTCAGAGATGGCCGGTTCATAGACTCCTCAGATCATGATAGCATGAATTTCGTTCAACCCATGTGTTTTGCAACGATTTCCCTGCTCAATATACATTGCCGAGGCTCCATGACGGGAAAGGAGTTTCTCCGTCTTCTTGGCCTGGGATACAACGTCCTTCGCCGTAGCCTCAGCTGGAGAGACAAGATCCGGAAACACGGCAGTCTTTGGTCGCAAAACTTCGTGACAAGAAACTCCATGGGCAAAGTTGGCTATCATATCTCCCGGAAGGTCGTCATCTGATTCACCAGATGAATCAGAGCAACCCCAGCAACCTTCACAGACAGGCCAACAGAAGTATTCCCTTTGCATGCTTGTAGAGTTTTACCTGAGGCTACACAAAAAATACTCTTAATCTCAAATGTTTCCGTCAAACTGTGAAACGCAGGCCCGCACCTGTCCGAGTGGCCAGAGAAATTCCCCGATGACCTGGCATCCCAACTAGATTGCATGGGGTGTGCTTGAGTGGGAGGGCTTGTTCGATACCATGTGATTTTTTCAAACACCATGCCACGACTGCCAGGGCATGGTTTTTCCAAGCGGGTCATATCTGGATCACAATGGTAGATCTGAAACACACCAAATTAGCAGACACATCTTTTTTGGTGGGCCCTTTGTGTCAAAAGAGCTGCGGCGCGATCCATCCCCAAACAAAAAGCTTGCTATCCACAGTTGATTGTTTTCGCATCACGCCCTCAGCTCGAACACAACCCCAGGCACCACCAAGCATCCGCTTGCTAGGACTTAGGGCGCACCCTGCTGGCTAGGCTTGGCCGTTTTGGCCCCCTTGGTCTTCCCCTTGTCGTCAGCCGATTTTTTTGACCGAGACTTCGGGTGGGACTTGGTTTTCGAATCGTTCTTAGCCTTAGCGGTCTTAGCGCTATTTGCCGGCTTCGCCTTCGACTTTGCAGATTGAGTGCCTCCTGCCTCCGATTTCACTCCCCTTAGTTGCCACCAGGGTGAACTGTGAAATCTAAAAACGGGTGGAAGGTGTTGGAAAGCAAGGCTCCAAGTCCTGCTTTGTGTGTTCACTATATGGAGCTACAAGCACGTACCGTGGAAGAACCCGACACCTCACTGTATTTTGTAGGTCCTGTGGTGAGATGTGGAAAAGGAGCTATCGATCGACCTATCGACTCCCAGGTGGAAGGCTGATATTGTTCTAAGGCTCCTTTAACGTTTGGGGTGCAGTAAAACTTGAAGGTTGGGATAGAACGGCTTCTCTTGAGGCAACTTCAGATACACTGCCAAAAAGACATACCTGTCAATGATTTCCTGCTGCTATTCCTTTAGCTAGCTTTGTTGCCCCAACCGTTGTGCAGGGCTAGGAGCTTTGAACGCACGAGCATTGCATTCATAGCCACATCCAATTTGGTGCACTCCACAAACTTGCCGGTGAGGTCGTCTCGCTTCGCCCTGGAAGAGATATAGGGCTTCAAGGGTGTTTGAAACACAGAGTTGCCAGTGAACACATTAAGCAAGCGACAGTGAATCTAAGCGAATCTAAGTGCATCTAAGAAACTTGTCAAAGGTCTCAGGGGACACCGTTGCTTCAGAAAGAACATTGGTCAGCGCTTCGTAGAGACTCTGCATCTTCCCATGGTATGTCGTCAAAGTCTGGTGCAACCTAGGTCATCCCAAACCAAGAAGTGACAGCCTAGTACAGAAAAGATTGCCCTTCCAATAGATTTGGTCAATGACTAAGGCATGTCCGCATATTGCGGCCCCGGAACGCTGAAGCTGTCGGGGCCTTGATGCCCTGAAGCCGCTCCTGGTATTGAAGAAGTCTGGACACAAATAGGTTGGAATATAATTGGTGGCACCGCACTGCATACAATCGGTCCTTCTCAGCGCAAATTTTATCAATTTTGCGTCCAAGTACTTCCACAAAGCTGGGTAGAATCTGGAGCGGACTGGACGAGCTAGTGATCGTAGGGAAACTCAGCCTGAGATAGATACTGGCATGGCGAACAACGGAGCTGTAAGAATGAGGCAATTCACTTGCAAATCAACCACAATGCAATTACATCAATGTGTTGTTGAAAGGAAACTTGAAGGACATCACACTTGCAGTGTTCCCCAGCTGCTCCCCTGCTTGCCCAGAGGTGATGGGAGCTGCTGATCCCATGCCAGGCACCACCGCAGTGCCAGGCGCGGCATTAAAGTCAACCAGATCGGAGTTGAAAAGAGAGCCCTCTGGGTCCTGGCTGACTGTCTTGGAAGTTGAAACATGAGCAAAAATGGCCCCACATGGCCCCACCAACACTTTCAAGCAAAAGGCTGCAAAAGCTTATAGGGCCGTTTTTCTAGTCTCTCCATGGCAAGCGTCCGAACATGGAAGAATTGTTTTTGAGCACCCCTCCAACCCCTCCTCAACAGAAATATTGCCAGATTGCTCTAGTTCCTCAATTTGGCTCTTATTCATTGAGAAGGTCTCCGACGCGATGATTCGAATTTCTTCTTCCCCATGAATTGGATTCACACGCCACTGGTTCTTCGACTTCGCCCACGCCCACGCTTTGGCAATCATACTCCTTGGCATGTTTCTAACTAACGTGTCCTGACCATCGACCCCACCTTGCATGAATTTGTTTATCATTCAGGTTAGACTCTTTGTGTATTTCTCGCATTGCTCGAGCTTGTTCTTTGTGTACCATCCTCCAGCCTTTTGCTCGCTGTCCTCCCTGATCTGCTTCTTCTTGAGAGCCAACTCCATGCATTCAAAGCTCCCGTGTTCCAGGAACATTTTCTGGAGCTCCTTGCCTCAAGAATATCGAGTGTTCACACAAACCCATGACACCTAAACACAATCCAAATTGCATGTATATATACTTACACCAGGGTGCGTCCAGCGGGGTCATTCCACATCTTGAGAGCCTCTGCTGAGCACTTGAGTCCACCCGCTTTGGGTTTGAAATATCGACGTAGCCTCAGGATATGAGCAGGTTAGAACTAGCCCTAGACAAATTTGTTTGGACATCACAACTGACTACCACTGCTTCCCTGCAGTCTAAAAGCTTCCAGTATGGATTCCCAGCACTCGATGCTACAGACTGTGTCTCATGTAACTCATCATCAGCGACGCTTGTGTTTGTCCGAGATGAGGGTGATGGGGCTGGCAAAGCCTCTACAGGTGACTTTGGCAGTGAAGCTGCTGCGGGTGGCACTGGCAGCACAGCAGGTGCGGGTGACACTGTCGCCTAGTGTGCCGGTGGGGCTTTGCCAGTCACAGGAGGATCTACAAAGGTATCTGGCAGTTGAGAGTCAATGCCAAAGCTTTCTGGCAACTGAGAGTCATTGCCATAGGTATCTGGCAGAGTGGGGTTGCCAGCACAAAACTGTCCGTTCTGTTGGGCAAAGCATGGGGCTCCTCAGATCATAACATAGAAACGCCCCAGACTAAGATGTCGATAGCCCAGAAACAAAACATATGCAGCTAAAGTATGAACTGTTCAGATTGGAGCAAGCATCCAGGAATGCCTGCGCTTGGTGCTTCAGTCGAAGCCTGATTAGACAACTTGCGGCGAAGAGCTTGGATCCGCTCTTGGCTTGCCTACAGGCACACAATCAAGAGAGGCTACAGAAACGCTGGAAACCCTGCAGTGTCACACACACATGCCTAAACCTAAACCTGATGGCCAAGCCACCAGAATTTTCTCCTGGAGTTCCCGCTTCCGGTCCGCAGGCACCACACCATCACACTTAACAGCATTCATGCCGTTCAACAAAGTCTCCGAAGAATGAAGTCGGGTGGTCATGTCAAAGCCCTTCAGCCAAAAGGTCGCTGAACAAAACACATGAGGGCAAAAAGTCCAAAGTAGATCCTGAAGTCTAGATGTGCAGCCAACAAATCGAATCGTAACGTCTTAAGGACCGATATGGACCGATGCAGTCGAGATCAAAAATTTCCAAAAGAGGCAGATTCTAGATTTGCGCCTTTTTGCGCATATTTGCGCCTCATTGCGCGTATTTGCGCCTCGTTTGCGCCTCCGTTTTTTCCCGACAAAAGTGGCTAAAGCGCGAAAGTTCCGATCGAATTGCTGAAAAGTCAGCAAAACACAAACAAATTGGCAAGTCACACCTGGCCAACTAGCCAAGTACGATTCTTCTACACCACTTGAACGACTTGAAGAGCAACACTATGTGTGCTCTGTCAAAAGCTGCTCGTATTCTGCGCGGAGTTGTGGATCACCCAGCACCTGCCAAAGACATTGGTTTGTCATGGTTTCTTTGTTAAGTTGAAGAAAATGGGAGAGCATGATTCCTTCAAGCACCTCAGCTTTATAGTCGGCTACAAACTTCTCCATCGTTGATTGCCATTCAGGAGGGATCCTACAGAAAAGCATATGTGGTGAGAGAAAGGGAGAGCACATGAGAGCACACATGTCACAGAAAAGTGCACTACCCCCAAAAGTCCTTATATGTTTTGAGGACATTGCGTACAGCATTGGTTGCAACAAATTGGCATCTTCCCAAAGATCTCCCATCGGAAGGCTTTCAAATTGGGCTACAGGATCCAACTTGTTGACCTGCACTTTGAACCTCAAGTCCCGGTGCACAGCGGCCGCCAGGTGAGTTTCAAAAGCCTGCCGCAGACAATGTCCAAATCCAGAAGGATACTGCCTGGAGGTTTCGCAAGTTGGGTGGAGTTGGGAATCTGTATCCACCACCATGTTTTCCATGTGATTACTCTTTGGGCCTAGGTGTACTTTGAAGAAACATGTGCACAGCCAAGAAGCTGGGAAGATTTGAGCTGGCCAGTTCCATGAAATTTCACCTCGCCTTTTGAATTCACATAACGCCCTTTTTTCTCCGCTCATGCACGCTTAGTATGAAGAACTACCAAGAAAAGCTGTTTGCGAACATGTATGCAACTGGGGAACTGGTTAGTGTGCTGCTTGTCTTGGAGGTTCTCACATCCTTTTTCAATTTGCCCAAATAATTTCCTGCATGTTTGAATAGCACCAAGTCCGCTTGCTACTGGGTGCCCCGTGTAGGATCATCCAGAAAGCCGACCGCCAAACCTGAGATCCAGCGAGGTAGCTCTGTTTAAACAAAACAGACTGCATGCGTACAAACAGCAGCTCGAGGTCGAGGAACCCATGCCACAGTGTTGCACATCCAACTAAATCTTTTGTGGTTCTCTAATAGTGATCCATGTGGTTGTTCAACAACCCAGGCTATGTTGCGACTCATAGCGAGAAGAATGCATAGCACAAGCCTTAGCTGGGCTGGACCCTCTAATTTTTTCCAACCACCTTTGACAAATTGTTTGATGAATCTGTGCACTGCCACTCAATCAGTCGGGTATCCGAGAAATCATACATGAGGAGCCTCTCACCCACGCCAAAAAAATGTTTCCATGGATGTTCACTCTTGTTCTCCATGATGTTCCTCGGGCTGGTATGCCCCAACTGGAGCAGTCGGGGCCTGCTAGGAACAAGCCGCAGCTGTCCGTGTGAATCAGAATCCACATCGCCAACCTGAGGCAAGGAAATGCCGAGCGAAGAGGGATCGTTGGTTCATCCAACAAGTTGTTGGTTAGCAAACCTATAAGCTAAGTTGCACCAGGCCAGCGCTTCCTAAGAAGTTCATCCCAGATTTACAGTAATCCCAGTCATAGGATGCTGTGCTATACCCTGATTCGGTCCTGAGCAACTGAGGGCACACCAAGACCTACTACAAGAATCATATCGATATAAGAAAGGAACCGCTGTGTTTGGGTCTAGGTAAGGGGCATTTAGCAGTGTGTCTTTTCTGGGGACAGGACATGACACGCGACACTGCAGCCTTTCCACTGAACAACTCGAAGAATTGAAACCGCTCCGTAGGGTCATGGTCTGGCAACTGAAGCCATCCAACCAATAGAACCTGAGGTTGCCCATTTGGTTTGGTTCAAACTTAAATCTTTGAAAGCGCATCGAGTTGAGCCCGAGTTGAGGCCATGACCAAGGCAATGAAAGCCTCCAAGGAATCATCAGCATATGCAGAATCCCTTCCAATATAACATTTCAACACGCATGCAATAGACAGAGTTTGTTTCCCTAGCCTTAGGCGCTTGAGTGTGCTGCAGGGCGGTTACAGGATCCCACAGCATTGGTATTGCAGCGTTTGGAAAGCTTGGGCTGGTCACTGCAGCTGCGCAGAGATGAGTTTGCACAGCCATCTAATACATGTAAGTACTTGAAAAGCAAACGCAAATAATGAGCCACGGTTGACCTGCTAAAGCGGACTTCCTTCTCCAAGCTGAAGATGGCATCAGCCTGGAAGTTGGGAGGTTTTTTGTACAAGATCATCAACAATTAAACATATTGTTGCCAATGGTTCATAGCTGACAAGGTTGCAAAAACCTGAAAGAAGACCAGTGGAAAACTTTTCGCTCTCAAGCCATGGTGAAGTTGCATGGGATGGACCCCCACTGCACACGGCTCCGATGTAGGAATATCTAAGAACCCCAAAACAGCTTGGTCACTGTTATGGCCCCAATCCTGCATACAGAAGGTTTCACTTCTGTATGTGCACAGCCGTGTTCATCACGGCACCCACTCACTCGCACCAAAAAAATCAGATTGCGGCAGCTCACAAGGTGTTGTGATATGCCTTGGTCCGGCAAGGCAAATGCAGATGCAGCCCAAACTGCTAAGAGGCTAGAACAATATAAACAGAGCTAAGTTACCTCCTTCGCCAAATCCTTTGCTTCTTCCGTGCTCTTTCCTGCAGCAAGTGCAGCCCTTTTGGCTGTGTGGTAAGCGGAGCTTTTGCGAGATTGCCGCCGCTTCTTCTCTTCCTTCTCGTCCACTTCTCCATCATTGCTCTTTGCTATGGAAACGGGGGGCGGACTCACCTGCCTCATCGAACTTTGAGGCCATCTTCCGCTTTGTAGATTTCCCCGCATTTTTGCTTTCCACTGGCTTGGGCTTGGTAGCGGCTGACTCCACAGCGGGCTCTTCTGCACACTTCTGCGGCTCAGAAGACTTCCTACTGCGCCGCTTGGCTGGCGGCTCCTCCTCATCTTTGCTTTCCACTGGCTTGGGCCTGGAAGCTTTCTGAGGGCCGCTCTTGCCTGACTCCTTGGCTGGTGGCTCCTTGCCTGACTCTGCAACCTCCTGGGGCACAGAAGACTTTCTGCTGCGGCCCTTGGCTGGCAGCTTCTCTTCAGAAGTTTTCTGAGTGCCTTCCTTGCCTGACTACTCTGCAACCTCCTGGGGCACAGAAGACTTCCTGCTGCGGCGCTTGGCTGGCTGCTTCTCTTCATCTTGCTCCTTTGCAACCTCCTCGGGCTCAGAAGACTTCCTGCTGCGGCGATTGGCTGGCAACTTCTCCTCATGTTTGCTCTTCACTGGCTTGCCGTCATTGCTGGGCTTCTCAACCGACTTCCTGTGGCCTTTGGCTGGTGGCTCATCTTTTCTGGACTTTGGTTTCGACGCCTTTCCCAGCTTTTCCTCGCTCTTGTCAGGCTCCGGCAATTTCTCTTCATTGAGGTCTTCCTTCTCCTCACCCTCCTCCTCCTCCTCCTGCTCCTCCTCCTCCTGCTCCTCCTCCTGCTCATCATCCTGCTTCGCATTCTTGCCGCGTGGCCTCCCCCTTCCACGTCCTCGTCCTCTTCCTCTGCCTTGAGCCGGCCTCCGTGCTCGCTGTTCGGCTGCCGTTACAGGCACAACCTTCTCCAAAACATCTTTTGGATACTCAATCACATCAATCACCTTCTTGTCAGCCTCAG